CGGGCTTGGGGACATGGGGTGGGGGACGCAGGATGGGGGATGTGGGTTGGGGGATGCAAACTAGGGGATGTGGGCTGGAGGACTCGGGCTGGAGGAGTTGGGCTGGGGACAGGGCCTGGAGGATATGGGCAGGGGGTCACTGGTAGGGGACGCAAGCAGGGGGACATGGGCTGGGGAACACTGGTGGGGGATGCAGGATAGGGAACATGGGCTGGGGACTCCAGCTGGGGAGGTGGGCTTAGAGACGTGGGCTGAGGGACGCTGGTGGGGAACGCAGGATGGAGGACACCAGCTGGGGACACAGGCAGAGACGTGGGAAGGGACGTGGGCTGGGAGACACAGGCAGGGACATAGGCTGGAGACATGGGCAGGGATGTGGGCTGGGGGACACAGCAGGGACATGGGCAGGGACGCAGGCTGGGGACAGGACGTGGGGGACTGCTGGTTGGGGGACATGAGCTTGGGGCATTGGTGGGGGGGATGCGGGCTAGGGGACGCAGGCTGGGACATAGGCTGGGGGACATGGGCAGGGGCATGAGCTGGGGAATACGGGCAGGGATGCGCACAGGGGGACACAGGCTGGGGACATGGGGATGGACGTGGACACCAGCCCAGCTGGTGATGGAGGACAGGCTGGGGACATCCAGGCCGCAGTGGGAAGGGACACGGGCTCTGCCTACCCGGCGGGCACATGGTCATGGGACAGCGTCCTCCCTTCCAGACCGGCTTGTTGGCTCTCACAAAGGCTGTTCATTTTAAATCTCGACATTCAATTTCCTACGATCCCAGAGCAGTTTTGATTCTGTGATTTTGCTTGAGATCAAAGCGAGGCTCAGCATCATCTTGTCATTACTGAAATGGTCTCATTTTTCCCCCTTTGAAAAATGTTCGCTGGGATTTCTTGTATCCTGGGCTTCATTAGAAATCAGCGTTAACAGCGCCGAGAGCCCTTCAGCCAGCTTTTATACCTCTAATTTAAGATAGACGGACTTGCAAATTTAAATATGCCAAATTTAAAAAAAAAAAATCTTCCATTTAAAATCCTCCTTCTACATTGTCGGTGTGGGAGATATTTCATTATTTGGTATTTCCCCTTAAACACAGAACAGAATCATTTTCGGAAGGCTCAGCTGACAGGGGACCACCGTAGCTCGGTCATATTCAAATGTCCATTTTCAGCAGTTTATTTCTTCTAGGTTTTTTTGAAACGTCAAGAATCCTCTACTCCGAAGTAACGGTGCCGAGGAAGCTGGAGCCAAGGGACAGGGCGCTTGCACAGGTCATTTGTTTTGCTAGGAAATTGCTCCTGGTCTGGCTTTTTAAGAAATTGCTGCCAGCGCCCGGCTTTAGCTTTTGACTTACTGGATACTTAAAAAAGAGCTTGTTAACGCTTTTTTCTTTTTAAATGCCATCTGAACAATGCTAAACGCTACAAAGAGGATTCTTAAAAATAAACAACTTCTTTCTGGAGAAGAAGTCTTTGGCAGAGGGTAAAACAGGAACCGCGCTCCGAGCAATCAGTGTGGCATTGCATAAGATAAAAGGGTTTGGGGCTGAGTTTTGGAGCCTTTCTCTGCCAACAGAGGGCTTTTAATATTTTTCTGAAAACATATCTACCCTGGGAGTCCAGATATCGAGCCCTTGTCAACAATAGAGTTGATTTTACTTAGAAACAGGCTGAAAAGGCAAAACTAAAGCAGCTCCTCTGCAGAGAGTGGCTGTCATCTCTAATACTTCCGAAGTCACTTTCCCCGAGATGGGAGGCTGCAAAATCAGGGACGTGAGGCCAGAACGCGTCCACCTGGCCCGGGAGCCCGTTCCTGGCAGTGGCCATTAGTGGGCAATGAAGGAAGGGCACTAAATAGGGTGAGAGTGCGAGGGTACATCTCGAGAAGATGCTCCCTTGGGAAAAATCACCCTTGGGGACACGCTTGAGCAGAGGCACTAAATGGTTTTCATGAGGGAAGGCTGGAGCCGTTGAGTCAAATCTTGAAAATGTTAATACGTTGCGTCTCAAACGGTTTAGGAGGACGTGTCATATTTAATAACAGCAGAAGGAAATCACCATATCGTCCATCTAGCACAAGCAAAGTAAGTGTCTGATGCTTCCCGAGTTTTTCTTCCTCTCTGACTCTTGCACCGGCCCATTATTGTGGTCAATCTGCTCCGAGCGCCAGGGATGCTCCCGGCTGTTAAGCACAACTACCCATCCTCTGCCTGCCCGCTCCTGCAGCCGCCCCACAGCTCCCCGTGGGGGGGTCTCTGGTCGCACCTCCTGCACAAAGCAAGGCAGCTCTGGTGTCAGACCAGGTTGCTCAGGGCCTTATCCAGGGAGATGCCTTTTGCATCCTCTCTGGGGTGCACCGCGTTCCCGGCGTGCCGTGAGCACCCGTGCACTGAGCCACTGCAGCTGTGGCAGCCCTGCATGGACCTTTTCCCAGCACGGCAGCTCCTGGTGGGACCCAGCCAGCCTGCGGGATCCCAGGGAAGCCCTCGCATCCTGAGGAAGCACCTAGGGCTGTCCATCGTCTTTCCTGTGGACCTTGAAGCCCAGCCTTGGACCAATTGAACCTTTTATCAGAAAACTGGTATTCCAAGGATATTTGCCATGTGGGTTGATGGACTTCTATGTCCAGGGCTTAAAATGCTGCCACATGCAGGAGGAGCAGATTGGATACACACGCTCAATGATCATGGCCATTCCCATGTCCATATGAACAGCATTTTGAAAGTACATAAATGGATATATCTTAAATAATCATCTTTTTGTCCATCTGTCTGCACCTCACATGGTCCAAATCCAGGGAATTGGCTTCATCTGATGTCATGTAGCTTCAGTCACTCCCACGGCCGGGATTTCTGCTGCCGAGATTACGGCACCGGTCTGGGACTTGCCGACAAGCGGGGAAGTGAATTACCAGACGTCTCTTGCAGCCGGCAGGAGAGAAACGAAATAGCTACACTTAAGGGGAAGCACTTGATATTTCTAATTTTAAGGATTTCTGTTCTGACTTTCAGAAATTTGATAGCCAAGGATCTCCCCGTTTTTACTTACAGTCAAGAGGGAGATCTGATAACTGAATACCCGTACGTTCAGGTAAGTTTAGACATATGTCAAAGATACAATGATGAGTAGAACTAAATTACCATCCTCTTTTCAGAGTCATCTGATTATACCAATTAATCTAAGCAAGAAATGGCTTTCTGTTTTTCGGGCAATTTTCTAAAAATCCACTATTTTTACATTTTTATTTAAAGAAAGAAGGAAATTGCATAAAAAGCTGATGAAAATGGGGAAAAAGAATTTCAAATTGATCAGAACAACATTTCTTGATTTCCAAATAGCTTTACTAATTAACTCTGCTTTGATTTCTCCCTTGACTCCTGGTTTTCAAGCACAAGAAAACTCTGGTGCCTTGTCTTCACGTTCAAGACTTTCCCTTTCACGCTGTGCCACTTACTTGGCCTTTTGGGTCCTCCTCTCACCCACATAGGCTCATGGTCTTTCCCTGCTTACATTTTACGTCCTCGCTTTTTTTTTGCACATGAAATACCCTTTCCAAATGGGTTGAGGATTCGTTTGGTTTTTTTACATGCCCCTTCACTGATGCAGTTTTTGCTTTTTAATCTGGACACGGGAGCTTTTGCCACGGTCGCCGGTGCTGGAGCATCTGCCCAGCGTAGCAATGAGCGCTGGGGATGCAGGTGCTGCTAACGGAGGAGTAATGGGTGTTTGGACCTTGCAGGAGGACTGCTACTACGAGGGGTTTGTGGAAGGCTCCCCAGGATCCCTTGTGTCCCTCAGCACATGCTTCGGCATCAGGTACTAAAACACATATCTTCAAGCATAGTTAAAAAAATGCATTTACAGCTCTTAACAGTATCTAAAGTATAGATCTAAAACGCAGTCATTTCATAGAAAATCAGTTTTTAATAAAATCCTTGTCCCAGGTATGTGCTTTATATTCTTTTCTCAGAGTGCAAGCAGGTAGAAGTTTTTACATGCTAAAGATTTACTTTACAAAGCAGTGAACTAAATAAGCACCGCTCTGCTGCTTTCCTTTGAGAAACTTGCCTCTTCAGGTGAGCTCTGAGTCTTTGAATATATTTATTTCTGATGCTGCAAGCTCCAAACGTGTGACGGAAAGCAGTGTGCGTACGGGTGTCTTTGCCTCTTGTAACTCAGACTTCCCAGAGCCACATCATTAAACCAGTGGTCACTCACGAACGTTGCGGCCATTTCTCTTGAGGTCTTTACTGTAGAACTCATTTACTTGATAACAATAGTCAAGCAAAAAGAAATGCCAGTGTAACCTTTCCTATGAGAATTTTTAAATGAACCATCCCCAGCTCAGCAGCCTAAATGAACAGTATTGTACTTACATTATCCCACTACAACATTATCGATCCAAGGCTGCTAATCTTCTCCAGAAATGTCTGCCTTGGGGACCTCTCCAAAAGCTCATGCAAATGACGGGTTTTGCAAAGTGCATCAAAGAACAAATAAATAATGTAAAATACTTCTCGCAGTCATGGGCTGTCGCTGGTGCATGCCCTGCTAGAAACCTCTTCCTCTGTGGGCCACAAAACCCCTGCTTCCCCATGCATGCAGCGTATTTGCGTCAGCGTCTCTAGGAGATGATCCCCAGCTACTAACTTTCTAGACCACAGTCTAGCCCCTGTGCTTTAGGTGCATTTCTCCATGCCCTGGAAGGAGAAACTATCCCTGTCTCTGTCTCACTGTCCCTGAACTCTTGAGCAACAGCAAGGAAATCCCTGGTGAGGGTGAACCTGCTCTGTGGGATCCCTTTCTGCCCCAATGGCTGCAGAAGTAAGTGCGTGACTTACTCAACACCTAAGGAACATGAGGAGCCATTAGATTCCTTAGCTATCATAGCATTTCTTCTGCAGGAAGAGATTTGACCATGAACATACAATCTCACCATTCAGCACCATCCAAAACCATCCTGAGATAATGGCAGTCTGCATCTTTATTACTCCTGTGCCAAGTTCCATATGAGAGGCATTCAGAGCTGGCTTCAGCCTGGTCCCCGGGCATTCAGGTGATGCGCACACCAGTGTCCATCCCAAACTGTCTTCCTGCTTGTGAGCAACATTTGCGGAGAGATTCATAACAATATTTTGACAGCAGTATCCAAAACTGGGATTACACAGAGATCAGTATTGCCGCCTTGGACATCACACAGAAATGCCGACAGTTCTGCTCCAGAATTAGACCCTCCACAGTAACTCTTGGCTGTATTCCCAGTTCTCTCTGGATTTTCTCCAGTTCCCCTCCTGCCCAGGTAGTATGTAAGAGCAGGCAGGACAAAGTCCCAGCCTGATCCAGGCAGTTCGGTTTTCAGCACCTGAAGTGCCTCTCTGTTCAGTGGTCAAAAGCCTTTCTGCCATTAAAGGATCTCCTGTCAACGCAGTTGGAGACAGCTTCACATTCACATCTTAGCTCTCCTCACAGCCCGGATACTGGGGGACTGCTAGGGTGAGGAAAAGGTCATTTTCTGCATTTTGAGGTCTTCTTGACAAATGCCATCAACTGTGTACTAAGAAAACTGACTCAGCAAAGTCTTCTAGGTTTCTAGCTCAGTGTTTGGCGAGGCCACGCTTTCCTATTTTGACACATGAGCAAGTAATTCTGGACATTTTAGAACTAAATAATTTGAACTCTGGCAGAACGAAGACCTGTTTAACTTCTCTGAGGAGATCAAGGGATAGGACCAAGATGTGGGTAGACATACTTACACCGTCGTCTTAAAATAAGCCCGACCAAAAGGTCTTTGAATTGCTTAAGTGAGGGTTTTTTTAGGATACAGACTAAAACGAGGCAGCTTTCGAAATAGGGAAAACTCAAAATTTCATAAAAGCAAATGAAAATTAGATTTATGGAAACCAGTCTTCATCTACCTACCTTCAAAGTGGGTCCTTTCCTTCAGGCATGCTTGTTCCAGCGATCCTAAGGACTCCCTGGGCTGCTGCAGATTACGCAGTGTCCTCTGTGTCCTGGGGAAAATCCCACTTTCTGTCCAGACATCTGCTCCCTGCTCCCAGAAGTTCACCTGTCTAGACATAACCTTACAGAACATACTATACACTAACTGCCCATCACAGCTACTACTTTGTCCCTTCATTCCCCGATTGAGTATTTTCTTTTTTTTTAACCCTACTGCTACACGGCTTTTTAAAGAACTAATTATTCCTCCTCTCAGTCCCTCATGGGATCTCATCCTCAGGTTGTTTTTCTGTAAGGACCGCCTTTTGTGCCAGTGGTGACATGTTCCTATAGTTATTAATGGACACAACCTATTCAGCCACAGTGTCTTCTCGGAGATAAACAGTTCTTACAGACAGATTCTCCTTGAAAAATAAGTAGCCCAGACAGAGCTTTTATTGCCTTCTCAGTTTCACTCAACGTATGAAATTCATCTGCTCTTTACTTTTCCCCAAAGTTGCATGATTGCTCTTTCACGGCTGTCCTATGTATCCTAAACATTGGATATGATACTTTTTTGCCTAGGAGATCTTTTCGACAAGTTCCTTGTAAGTTCTCACTGGATCCCTGACTGTAGGAGCAGCCTTATGAAAAAGCTAAAAGGAACATGTCCTTATCTTCCACTCTAAAAACTATAAAATATGGGCTCGCCCAAATAGCACCAAAGCCCCAGAAGTGTCTCCTGCATTCTCATCCCCAGCAAGATCTACACAGACCGCCTCCAGCATCTCCAGCCGTGCTTTCACCAGCACAGTGCTCCTGCCGCTGTGCCCCAGGCCACTGATGCCAGTGGGAGGGTGGACTTTTAGTCTCTTTTTGGTTAAGGATTTTGAACCTCTTCTCCTTGTCGCTGATTTGCTGGGCGGTGCTTGGAATTAGCCATGGTGGAAATGGATATGCAAACACGTGCTGGGTGAGAAGGATGGGTTGCTTGCTCATGGCTGTCCTTCTAGGAGCCTTTCTTGCTTGACCCCCCTCAATGCACCATCCTCTCCCTCCTCTCATGTCCTTGTAACACTGGGAATCCTGGGGTGGAGAGGACAGAGCATTCTTCACCCTTTTATCAGCACATGAGGTGTGCATGGAGAGGGAAGGGCCTTGGGCACACTCCTACGTGTGTGTAAGGTAACAAATTCGCTGGGTAACAACGTTCACAGGTGGGGGACCAAAGTATGATACCACAATGTATCTGAAAAAATACTGACAGGTAAGTAACCCATCCTTTTTGCCACCACATTGTCTTCTGTTGTATTTGATACAAGAAAAGTTTGATGAAGTTACTGTTTGTCTCTCGTTTGTTTACACTCTCTTTTAAGACTTTTGTCTTAAAATGTGCATTTATACACATTTTCTTTTCACATTTATAAATGAATTTGAAAAGCCATTTAGCTTCGTCAAATCTCTTAGTTGCTTTTCTTTTTTAAAATTCACAGTGGAGTTTTGCAAATTGGAGATTTGAGGTATGAAATCGAACCTGTTGAAAACTCTTCTACGTTTCAACATCTTATTTATCGGAAGGCACTGGAAAGCGACGTACCTCATCTGTGCCAAGTGCCTGAAAAAGATGAAGATCTGCCTGAAGATGGAGACCTTTCAAATGAGAGTCGTAAAATATTTGTTATTGAAGTAAGAATTCCTCCTCTGCTAGAGCAGTATTGCATGTTAGTGTGCATACATGGGGACTGCGGGAATGACCCAACTCTACTGGAAACTCCTATTGCATTCAGAAGAACGTTACGGGAGTTTCAAGCTATACTGTATTGGTGGGTCTGAAAGCTAACAGGATTTCTGTGTGGTTATCATAAGCAATGTCTCATGCTATGGAAACCATACCTTCAGCCATGCCTGATCTTAATAGTGAGAACAGAAGACCCAATTCTGTTTCTCTGGGATGTTTCCTTTCAAACACAGAGTAGTTCAGCATTTCACAAACTCAACCATCCCCAGCTTACATCCGTCCCGGAAGAGATCTTGACCTAGGGGTGGAAAGGCAATGCACCTCTTCTGCTTATTCACTCTTCCTACTGCTTTAGTGGGGTAAAGAGCTTTCTGGGCTGAGAGGTGTGACTGTAGGTGCAACGACTACAGGGTGAAGAAAAGACATATTCTCATTGCTTATTAATGATTAATTGGCATGATAATAGCTGTAAATCACCTGAAGAGGCTGTGGGATCTTAATGCCCTACAGACTCGTGAAAGTGTTAACACTTCATCAGGGACTGGTCAGATGAGGACGTCCTGTCCTGGGTTTGATTCTCTCTTGAGATCTAGCTGAAACAGTGCAAAACGGAGACAAGGAGCAAGCGAGCAGGAAGTAGAGTTCCGTTGGCACTGTGAAAGTGCCTCTGCCTTATCTCTGGACTCCAAAAGGGCCCTACGGTGCAGCTCCCTGTAGCCACGCATGGGTGCCTTGTCTCTCAGCAGTGTTTTTGCTCATGTCCTGCGAGCAGCGAGTGAGGGAGAAGGTTACTTCACCTGCCTTACTGATGTTCCTGCACCCTCTTCGTTTGCCTTTCTTTTCCCAGTCCAGCCTGACTCCCATGGGACTTCATTTAATGCATCTTTACATCCTGGAGATAAACAGCAACAACTGCTCTCTCTATCTCACTTCCCAATGATGTTAGTATAAGCCTTATAGCAAGCAAACCTGAACTGTACTGCCCTGGTTTGCTTAAATTGAGTGAAAAAGAAGCTTTAATGATGTCAAAATGCACACATCTCTTGCTTCTCCTCTATTCAGAAACCCTATTTCCACGTTATCAAAGGCAATTCGTTTGTTCTGACATCATTTGTTCAATATTGGCTATTACTGATGTTGTTTGCAGAAGTGCCTTGGTTAAAAAAAAATTTATCTGCTTGGATTTATGAGTGCTTTTTAGAGCTTGGGAAGACTTTTGTCACTGCTGTTTCTGCTTTCAAAAGTGCTGAGATAAAGTATTATTTCTGTAACTAGAAGCATGGATTATTTATAGCAACAGTCTATCCTATGTCAGCATGTTGTAACTGCAGACAGTGAAAGGAATAGCGACATTCAAAGATGCTGCCTTCTGATAATAATATGAAGCACTTAGAGGAAAGAATTGCTTATCAGCTCCCATGCTGGAAATATAGTTTTATAAACGAGCATAATTTCATTGAATTTACCGAGAAGCTCCCAGAGAAAGGGAACAATTTATAACATTAATAAAGTATAATTTGTTCAACTGAGAAGAGAGATGAGTCCCCTTGTTTAAAGTGACTCTTAAGCAATATTTTTTTTAGTAATGCATACTTCTGCAACAGCCAAATGATAGAAAGTCACATTTCTGAGAGGTAGAAACCTACTTCTCATCTCTTACTAGCTCGGACACACGAGAGCTTCTAGGAGAAAGGCTGTTGTCTCTCCCTCACTCCCATCTCAGCCAACACCAGAGCTACCACCTTGCCATTTGCAGAGTTACCTTCTTTTTTTTTCCTTGCTATTTGTCCAAATTTGCAGATCTTGCACACCCTGGGATGCTCTAACAGCAGATGAAAGTGTGTCAGGAATCAACACCACTGGGGACAACAGCTTGGTGTCACTCCATATCTAGCCTCAGTTCACTCACGCATCTCATGACAAGGTCCTTCTGCCAACTCCTCACATAGGAAGGGGGGATGATGGTGATCTCCATCAGCTTTCAAATCCGAGCTTCCCTTCTGCAGCATGGGGCAAACAGTGATTATTGCAGCTTTTTCTTTATCCCAGGCAAGAAGATGTGGCAGTCCTTGGACTCCAGGGAATTTTTAAGGCCAGTTTTCCAGAGCTCAGTGCTGCACGCGCAACAGTTGGCTTTCGCTTGCCGTTCCTTTGGATCAAACTCCAAGGATTACACTATAGTATTTTGCTATGTCAACAAGTAAATACAGTTTCTTAAAACCAGAATTTTAGACTCACAGCCACCACTCTTGTCTTAGGAAGAACCCACGTCACAGTGCATCGGGGAAGTCTCACTGTTTGCCCATCCGCTGGCCGTTGTCAGAGATGGGACATTGCAGCTACTGAGCAATTGTGCCCTCCAAAGGGAAGCATGAGCCTCCAGATTACACATTAGCCTATTAAGTGCTATCAGCAATTAATTCACTGGGTGTGCAAAATGCGCGAGCCAACAATCTCCACGCATTTCTTCATGTTTCGAGACTGAGAGTGCCGTACCTATGACAGATTGTAACTACGGCGCTGCCCATCCTCAAAAAAGTGTGCAAAGGCCACAAGCAAGAAGTATTAAAGATTTTATTTCCAGAGATTGCTGGAATCCAGGTTCAGTAAATGGCACCTTTCTGATTCAGTGGTTGGGTCTATCAGTGTGCATATTCCCATTAGTTGTATTACTCAGATGTTCTGGGAAAAATTAAACGAAACTAAGAGTTATTCTAGAGACTTTCATGTGGCTTGAACAATTTCAGTTCAGGACAACTTTGACTCTCTCAACAATTATCTGTTTCTCTCCCTGGTTTCCAGTGTTGAACTTCTTGATGCAGGACAGATCATGTTGTTGACCCCACTCTATTATCCCTCCAATGCAGAACAACTTTTGTACAGTCCTAGATTTAATTATTAAATAAATTCTGAGCAGCAGAAGGAAAAGCAGCGCAAAAATTTTGCAACTCTCAGTGAGCAATGCCAGCTACTGCAGCTGATATGATGAACAGCTGACCTGTTACTGTATTCTGCCTCTGAATATTTCGGGTTTCTCCCTGATTAGACTTGGCACCCCTTAATCCTTTTCATTCACTAACACATAATTGCACTGTGTTCTTATACCTCGTCATATGGGTACCGGGGAAATTCTGAATTTGCTTGAGTAATGCCATCTGTTTTTTTTTTCCCCCGTTGATCTGCAATTTGGCGTACAGGTAAAAATTCCTGAACTTACCATAATAACTGTGGTGTGATTTGTTCACTTCCAGGAAGTTTCCAATCTTCACGAATTGCAGGTGTCCAAGAGATATTTAGAATTAGTTCTCATAACAAACAAAGAGCTGGTAAGTGTCAGCAAGTTAGAGCCGCGGTACTTTGTCGTGACTGTATTGCTATATTTGAATTAGTCCTTCACGTTCAGTCCTACCTGTGTGAATGCATTACATCAATGCCTGTTTTTAGACAAGAAGGGGATTCATTTGTCACTGATTCTCAAAGGTGAAGGGAATAAAAGCACTTCTTTTGGCAGTGTGCTTCCTCACCATGAAGAGCAACTGCTTGTATCAGCCCACGTGTACGTACGAGAAAGGTACCTCCGAAAGCTCCCGTCGATGCACAGAGCTTTCCTCCCAAAATCAATGTGGCCCACTGACCCGCAGCGGTGCTAGGAACCCCGTGACACGGACACGTCTCATGTGGTTAAAAGGGAGTTAGTCCGGGAAATAGCCGAGACAGACACAGAAGGGGTGAGCAATCAGTGCTCACCGTAAAACTGGGTTTCTGTCTGAACCCTGAGAGTGTGACGTTTCCTTTCTCCTCTTCCAGTTTAAAGTTAATCACTACAATGAAACTCTGATGTTGCACCTCCTCATTTCCATAAACAACCTCCTGAACACGGTGAGTATAATGATCCGAAGGTCGTGATTGCTGCTTTGCTCCATTGGTTGTCTGTCTAACGTGGTGCTCTGTCTGGGAAAGACATGAATAATCTGTGTTTGACTAGAGCTATTCTACGAGAAAATAATGTGTTCTTGAACGGTACAAAACCTGCTTCAACTGCTAAAAATTGTTTCAAGTGTGAGCGCAGCCAGTTTAAAAATGCTTTGAAATTGTCCCTTGAAGATGCTTGATTTGGACTCTACGTTACTGTTGCTGCATGCTTTCTGGCAGCTCATTGCCCTTTCTCCTCATCCTCTCCTTGCTTTGAGCCCTCAGAAACAGCAGTTTTCCTCTTCCGCTTTTTCTGTGTGGCTATTCTGACAAAACGCTGGTGCATCAGCCAAGAACTCAGCCACGACGCAGGTAAAATGAGCGATACAGAAAGCCCTAATAAATTAATACAAGGCACTAAACTAAAGGAAACGACCAGCTGCTCCACTTCTGGCTAGAATACCAGGGAAAGGGCTCGGGGCCACCAGCTTTCTGATTGCGAAGGGGTGGTTTTTGTCGCGCGCGCCCGCCTGACTCAGCGACCTGCTTCCAGGTGTACCGGCCCATGAAGCTGCAGATCGTGGTGAGCGCGGTGGAGATGTGGAACGACATGGACCACGTGACGATCGCCCATGATCTGGCCCATACGCTGCAATTTTTTTCCATGTGGTGCCAGAGGGACGTCATAGGCCGCATTAATTACGACCATATCGAGCTACTTCTGTAAGACTCCTTCGTTTTAACCTCTCAGGTCACTGGTTGCGGAGCGATAAGCAGAGTGACATAATATTTTCATCCTCCTATTTTTCTAATTTTTACCTAGCTTTTCTTACCTTTTTTTTTTTTTACCTTTTTTAGCCTAATTATTTTGTCCCAATATCATAGCTTAAATAGTCCATATGCTAATCCATATGCATTTGTCATGTAAATTGATACCAGGGAGATTTTAAGTAGGTAGTCTATTAGTCTATAGTATTAGCCTATTTTTCCAGTCTTCCTTCTCTTTAAATCAGTACAACCAAATTCTTTTAAGCTACCCATTTTTCAGATATGCCAGCTACTCATTTTTTAGGTGTCCTAATTCAGTGTCACATGGTTTACAACTCACCATTTAAACTACAACTTTTTCCTAAGGTGATGATGTTAGATCTCACATAACAAGAAGCTTCATCACTTCCTTCATTCGTAGGCAACACTCTGTTCTGTGTGGAAAAAACCCAAACCCTTAAAGTCCTTTAGCTTTATTTACAGCTGCGTACATATAACACATGGATATGCTTTTAGCCTTTAATGCAGTCTCTGCATGAAAGGGAAATCTTGATTAGGGGTGTCAGTGATTAGTCCCAAGAGGTCAGTGTGGAGCTGAAGGGACTCCCTATTGAAGGATTTTACTGCAAGAAAGGTGTTCCTTGTTCCCCGAAGCTATTTTTTCCCAACTTTAATTTAGGCAATGCATCCTATTATTGAGATAATGTTGTTTTGTATTTCTTTAACGCTCAAAATTTTTCCGCCACAGCGGTCAGCACTACAAAGACCTGGGATTTGCCTGGAAAGGGACTATGTGCCAGCTGAACTCAATGGGCGTTGTCTCGGTAAGGAGAGACTTGGAGGGTTTCCACTGCCTGCCCCAAAATGGAGAGATCATCTCATAATTGAGTTTAAAAGGTTTTGGCCATAATCTTGCCCCAATAACTCGGTACTCCCACAGTGTATTTATAATTTGGGTCATGGCAAGCGGGTGGCCACTTTAGATGCTAACACATTACCCTGATCTCGGGAGTTTATAGTTTTGAGTTCTTAGCTGACACATATTTTGAGGCTTCAATTTCCTAGGTAAGTAAACGAACCCCTTGACTACTTTGCAAAAGACGGATGGCACTAGCTGTACTTTCGAATAAAAGTGCCTCTGATTGATCACTCTCCATTGAAAGCAGCATTATGTGAGTGCTAGGAATGATCTGAATAATAATTCTCTAATGCTTCCCTAGAACTATTCTCTTTAGGGGTTCCCTAATTGGTGGTTTGCATGTGCAAGTCCTTAGCTAGCACAAATTTCATAATCACTGAGCAAAACACTAAAACCTGGATCTGAAGTTCTCTGCATCAATATATACCCTCTCCAGAAAGTGTGTACCTGTGGTTTTTCTTCCTACATACAGTTCCCTGGGCATGACACTATCAGTAACGTGATGACACTTGCTCATGAGATGGGCCACAGTTTAGGTTTCAATCATGACGATAGCAAACGATTTCACGACAGAGACTGTAACTGCAACTGCACTCATAAAGGATGTATCATGCGAACATCACCGGGGTAAGTACAGCTTAGTTTTCACTGCATCACTTTGGGTGAGATTCAGCTCACTGCTGTCAGTCATCTGTTTCTGAGCCAGCCATCCTGCACTCCCAGTGTGTCTGTACGTTTTTTTTATCCTGGCTTTGAAAACTCAGGTCTTTCATGACTAGTAAAGGTGTTTTCCTTTTTTTTAGCTGAGTTGCTTAATAAAATTAGGTTTCTACAATTGCTGGGTTTCTGTAACGGTGTGTATGCCTGTTGCTCCGTAGCATCTTTAAATTCCTCAGTTCCAGCCACCCTTGACAGAAGAATGGAAGTCTGAGAAGCTGGTCCTGCTTCATGCAGGTAGATGGACCAGAGACTTCCACAGATTGTTTCCAACTTAAGTGACCCAATGATTTTTTTATCAAGTTCCTAAAAATTTTGTGAAAATAGCTATTATTTAGATAAAAAGATACACCAGTTTTCCCAGGGCTTCCTTGGCTCTACTGGACACACTTGCCATTCGTTTATTTTCAGTATGCTTTCCCCAAGTGCTGCTTGTTTTCAGCTCCTTCACAGCTAGGTTTGACGCTTCCAGCAGATGTATGGGTTACAGCATCCCTTCCTCTTGTGCTGGCCTGTTTACAATTGCTATCTGTGAAAATGTATTTTCCAGACATGGTGCCTTGTGTGGGGAAGGAGCTTTCCTAGTGCCTGCTCTCCTCCTCGTGATGCTCACCAAGGCACCAAGGAAATGACTCTAGTCTCTAAGAGATGAGTATATCTACATGATGCCTTCACACCTTTGTCTTAGGCTGGACTTTTTTTTCTATTTTTCTTTCACGATCAAACTGAGATCCTTGAGAACCTCTTTGGAAGATACCTATCGTGTATACTATCTCAGAAAGGAGATTGTTGGGCAGAAAACTGCTTAGCATCCAGGCTGTGACGAGGTGAGTCACTGGATCACTTGAAATGCCACTGGAGGATTTGCAGCCAGCATCACCCAAGTTGCTAAACATTCTACATAATCAAGAAAAATAATTCCACTAATTAATATCTCCTGAAATCTGCCAAGGATATTTGTCAAATGTCAGCTTCTGTTGTTTCAGCATCAAAGGAACCATATGATATTGCAGGAACATTCCTGTTGTCAGCTCCAAATGTTGTTGATAATGCTTTATGGTCCATGGCAATGTCAATAAAAATGAATCATTCTTCTTAGCTCTAAAGGTCCACCAATACATAGTGAGCCTCAACAGGCAGTGACGGTTGCTCCATTTCAGATTTGTTCACTTCAAAATTGCAGGATACTTTTCTCAGGGTGAAGAATTCCTCATCTCTGTTCCACTTTTTGAAATATA